GATATAGCCATCATTACAGCGGACAGTACTAATGTAGTAATATAGCCATCATTACAGCGGACAGTACTAATGTAGCGATATAGCCATCATTACAGCGGACAGTACTAATGTAGTAATATAGCCATCATTACAGCAAACAGTACTAATGTAGTAATATAGCCATCATTACAGCGAACAGTACTAATGTAGTAATATAGCCATCATTACAGCGGACAGTACTAATGTAGTAATATAGCCATCATTACAGCGGACAGTACTAATGTAGCGATGTAGCCATCATTACAGCGGACAGTACTAATGTAGTGATATAACAGCACAGATACATGGGCTTAAACCTGACTATGTGTATGTTACACTGAGTATATAGCTATACTCAGTAAAAAAGTAAAAGTGCCCATACTCAAACGCTCTGGAAATTGTCCTTCAGTGCGTAGCTTATGCTCTTTGTACCATCCAGCCATCCACAGGGGGGCGTGAGTCAGCAAGGAGCAGGACTGAGAGATGGCATTCAGGCCCTTGAGAGAGGCCCCATGTTGACTATGCTGCACTGTCAGGCTGTGGAGCTGCTTCTGCCAGCAGAGGAACAAGCCGCTGAGAGTTGCTGCAGGGTCCGCCCCGCCGCTCAGACCCACTGCACCACACGCCGCAAACAGAACTGATGTTACCCAGCTGAAGGGGACTGTGCAGGAACAAAGCAGGGACAAGAACAACACAGATGCGTAGCTGTCTACCTCAGTGCAGTATGGCAATATTTCACTGATAGCATTACAGTCCCCAGCTAATCAAAATACAGTTATCAGTCAATGGCAGTACAAACACACACCAATGGATGATGCCCCAATAAGCTCAAATGAAGAGTTTCAATGGCATGTAAGAGGATATAAAAGCTGAATAAAGTAACACAGACCTAACCTTTTTAATTAACAACATCCTATCTGAATCATCACAGTAATCAAAATGTACTTCTTGCACTTTTGCTAACAATTAAATGTTGGTACATCCATTATCAGCTCATGTATATTTAAGAATTGTTTTATGTATAAACATTATACACAGAAATTCTTTAGATAGAAAGTGACAACTCTAGTGAGGACTACGATGGCGCGTGTCTCCAATTAGCTGAACACGACGACACGGTGAAGAAAAAGGCTGATCGATGCCATTCAGTTTTCGGGTTGGCAGGAGCTGCCATTCAGGACACGATGAGAGTGAAAACTTTCCTGCTCTTGTTCTGGCTTTTGTTGGAGTGTTTGTGTTACACATGTCATGTAAAACAGTTCTGTAAAGCTGTATAGCCTACGCATATTTTAGTCAAGTCACTGCCGTAATTTCACTTGTATTTCTGAAAAGGACGCACCTGTTGTAAGCTGTTAAAAACATCATTTTTGTCAGCATCACTTTATGAGCATCAGCTCTCCAGGTTAATAGTTACACAAATGAAGGCTCAAGATACAGGCTGAATAGGGCTACATGTCATGAGCAGCCAATGGAAAATGGATTACAGTGTAATGAATGTTTTAATATTTACTATAATATTTATAGTAATAACTAATATATGATCAGGTCAGTCTAGAATTTTGGTCTGCAGCTGCCACTAGTGTAGAGATATTTATAATAACTCTTTTATGCTTTTATTTGCATCAGATTCCGTTCAAAACCCAAGTCTACCTGATACAATTGTGCAGTTCTCCGAAATGGTCACAAGGGGTCGCCAATACTTCATTAGTACATTAAATAGGGCTTAAGGTAACACAGGCCGACAAAAGGAGTATTTACGGCTACCTTAAAAGGGATAATGTACCGGTATGTGTGGGACTCATGACTCTTAATAGGATCAGCGGGTACAGAAAATAGATGAGTGTATCCTATATTTAAATAATATATTTTTGCGAAATTAGTCAAATGTGAACCTTAAAATTGGGAAACTAAAAATGACTCCTAAGTTTAATGATTTTACTAAATCCCATCATGCCGAAAGATAAATTTGTACATACTATATATTAATATGTAAACAAAACCAGAACCGTTCTTTCTCGCTTGGCCTGAATTAAATAAGAAAATGTTCAAGGTGCACCGGGTACTTTATGTACACGGAGGCATTTTGTTCAGTAAACTAGGGAAGCTGGCTTACTGTGACCGTTCGTACCAATAATAATGTTGTAGTAGGAATAAATCGTGTACACAGCAATGCCAAGAGAGATAAGCCACGACAGACGCGTAGCGGGCGAGTGATCGGCAGCCCGCAGCTCTGGACGTCGCACTGGCCCCCAGCCATCCTCGGCCAGCCGAGAACAATAGCGGCACGGCGCAGTGCCAAGACCGCAAGCACTGTCGTACCTGGCAGCTGCGAAGGTTACCGGTAACCTTGGAAACGCCGAGGGATCGCGCACTGTGCACGCGCGATTTTAAGAACAAAGGCGCTTCCCGAAAGTCCTAGTGTCAGTTAACACCTGTTACTTTGGTAAATATTGACCAAACAAGTTTACAGAATTGAAGAAAAAACGAGATAAAGATCGTATACATATACTTTGCATATTGGCATTCACAGTCGTACAAAGCAGCTGCAATAACATTAAAAATTAAATCATACATATATGAGGACTACGGTTGCCACCCGTCCTTCTTAATGTGGGACGAAACAGTTTATTTTCCAATGCGGGACGATCCCGTATTATAAGACACGGGTGACATCCCTAACACTATGACTAAGCTAACCTCTGCATGGTAGAGCGGAAATATACGGCACCACTGTAATTTCTTAGACATAACGCTCGGGGCAGCAGATTTTTAAAGCGGTCGCAAAGAACTATCGTAATATATTTCAGTGCTATTACTAGAATTGTTCATTTTTGTTTCATATCCTCTGCCTCAGTGGTTGAAGTTGTAAACCAGACGATGGTCCCCAGTCATAGAAAGGCAAATTTCAGCCTGTTTGCATTTTCATGCCTTTCTTGATATGAAGAATCCAGAGACCGAGGGGCGATCACATTACTTCCCGCATGATCTGCGTTCACAACAGGGTTGTTTTTTAAAAAAAACAAAACAAAAAAACGTAGACTAGTGATGGAAGTTCAGTTCAATTTACAGAACCGATTTTATCGAACTCGGTTTAAATTAATCAAAAGTGTCTGGCCGACCTCACTTGTGAGTAAACCTCCCGTTTTAGGGTAAAGAAATGGCGTAATTGACGTGCACCGAAGAGATAGAGAAATTGAATTAGAAAGGCAAATGACAAAAATATTGTTTTTAAAATATTATGAGAGTCTAAGATGACCGTTTTATGCTTGTGTTTTCTGTTTGACGCCTAATGTTCTCCTGTATCCCAGTTCCTTTTTTAAACTTTGAATCAAATGCATGTAGTCATGACTGTGCTATTCCTCTGTTTACGCGTTAATAAAAAAGACATTGAATTGTTTCAGCGTCGTCGAGGTACACTCTGGGTGTCTTGTCTGTTGTCATAGTGCATGGTCCGAACATGGTGAGTGATATCTTATTGAGGGAGACATTTTATTCCCGACCTCGCTTGGGGGTTGATGGGTGCCCACGAGAAGACACTCCTCTGGTCATAGGTGACTTCATTGAGATCACTGGTCCTGACGTAGCTGGCTTCCAACATTGTGTCATCCCCATGGGTCTGGCAACCATAGTGAAAGTGGCTCCATGTTCCTTGACTTTGCAAAGAGTGAGGGGCTGTGAATTGCTGGATCCTAATTCCAACACCCTGAGCCGCAACATTGGACTTGGTTCTCTATTGCTGGTGGTGCTGCAAAGGAGATTGATCACATCCTCATGGGCAGATGCTAGAGGCTCCAACAGAACTGCAGGGTCTACAAAAATTGTCCTGTTTGTGAATTCTGATCACAGACCGTTGCTACTCTGAAGATTCAGCTACTAGGAGAATGAGGCTGGACCTGGTCAGATTCCAAAATCAGGCTGTTTCTAATGAGCTTGCATGCAGTCTGCGCGAGGAACTTGCAAACTTGGGTGTGACTGCCAATTGTAATATGATGTGGGAGAATTTCTGCGACAAGACCCTGAAGGTTGCTGAGGGTAGTTTTGGTGCTGCCAGTGCTCCCAGAAGGAGGTGTTTCATCTCACTGGGCACCCTGGATATTATTGAGTCACAGTGCATGGCTTGATGGCCACTCCGGTCTGCACAGGAAACTGAGAAGGATGGTTGCAAGGGCCCTGAGGGCAGATAAGGAGGCGTTTGTTAGACGAATCTGTGAGCAACTGACACACTATCTATGAGCTAGCAACCTATGTCCTGCTTACAGAGAAATCGAAGAATTACCACACATCCAAAACCATTCCTCAAAGAGTTGCAATCAGGGCAGGTGATGATCCTTACAGATGACACTGCAGTTGTGACCTGCTGGGTTGGCTACTTTGAGCAGCCATGTAAAACTGATCCTCCAGTGACTGCATTGGTCATGCCTGGGTTTGCGAGTGTCCTGGGTAAAAACCAAGATCCTGGCCTTTAATGAGTTCTTCATCAGCAGTGTGTCTGTCTGCAGAGAGAATTTTGACCGTGTCGAGAGGTTTGCTTAATTTGGCAGCAACGTTTATGTCTCTGGTGACTCATCCTATAAAGTCAGTAGATAGACTGGGAGAAAAAGGGTGGGGTCATGAGGTGACTGGAAAGGAGTGTGTCGTGCTCCCAATATCTGTGTAAGAGGATGAAAGTCTAAGTCTTTAGAGTCCTGGTGCATCCTATTTTTGCTGATGTACTATAAAGCAAGATTAACATGCACTCCCACTAAATATTCCTTTATTCATCACAGAAACAGATACACACAGTGGAGTTATGTGGCTGGGAAGATGACAAAGGTCTTCATACATTTTAGGAGAGCAACATCCATGTTCGTTTATAATTACTCCATTCAAATAAATGGACTAGTAACAATGAAACTAAATGAGACAGACATGTCCAGTAAAAGTGTGGTTTAAGCAATGGACTGTGGGGGACAATGCACACCACTTAATGTTCAGGTTATATATTCCTATCCATCTTTATTAATAATTGCATTGTTCATTCACCCCCAGTGAGTGTAAGCAAGTGACAGCTACTTGAACGTGAAGCAAGGGTTATCAACTCAAATACTAAACCAATATCTTGTTCCTGCAGAGATTGCCTGTTTTCATCGATATTAACAAGATTTTGCACACATAGTGAAAGGATTTGAACTGCAAAAATGAGTGGCGCCTCTTGGTCGGTAGGCATCGAAGGTCTGTATCGTCTGTCTGGTTGTACAACCATTGCCGGTGCAAGGGATTGTTGCTTAAGCTGTCAGGCTGTTGGCAGGGACCCTGTGTAGTGTTTGTGAGACTGTCAGAAGTGATGTACTATGTCCAGACCAGCCCAGTGGCCTGTACTACGAAGCGGGGTTACTGGCTTATTTGGGTAACTTGTCGGATTTAAGGTACCTCAGTTTAAATGGACTTCATAATCGTTCACTTACATTTTGCCCAGACTACCTTAAATCCAACAAGTTACCCCGATAAGCCAGTAACCCCACTTCGTAGTACAGGCCCCAGGAGTCAGTCCTTGTTAGTACATTGCCATAGACTGGCCCCATACCACACTGTCTCCAGCACCTGCCAGCAGCCCAGGTCGCCCAGTGTCCACAAGCAGCCCATCTTCGCAGCAACCAGTGAGGACGCACCAGCAGCTGCTACTGCTTTACCTCCAGGACTTCATTTCAAACTGTTTATGTGGTTGCCTGGACGGTTTTGTGTGTCGGTGACTTGACTTCCATGTGCTGAGCGCATTTATATATCCCAGCATGCTCCACTATAACTGTAAATAACTGTCGTCTAAGTGTTATTGTAAATAGCTGTGATGTGTTCCTGAAATGTCCCTCGACTTACCTGTGTATGTACATAAACCTTACCTGCTCCTCGCATGTCACCGTCTTTCCTGTAATTACCCACCATGTGTGCAACTCACCGTTTAGTGTGAGACATCCTCACCATTTCACCTGCGTCTGTGTGCCTAGTGGCAGATTAGTGAGTGTAGGGGCCCTATACTGCCCCTGCTCCCCAAAGTGATACAAAAAAGAACTATGAAACTATTAAATATTAGTAAGTATAAAATATTTTCTACAAAGTCAAAGAAAATGTGAAGCTGTATGAAATGAGAGAAATCACATCAGAACAACAAACCAGCAAGTTTACATTCTTACATCAGTCATATACAGGCAGAACGAGCTCAGTAGAGACCACACTGATAAAAACTGACTCTGTGTAACAGAAACAGACTGCACATATGATAGAGACCTCACTGACAAATACTGACTCTGTGTAACAGAAACAGACTGCACATACGATAGAGACCTCACTGATAAATACTGACTCTGTGTAACAGAAACAGACTGCACATACGATAGAGACCTCAAAAGGATAGAAACCTTAAAACATTACACTCTGATTTAGAGAAGTTCCTGTTCTATATGTAGTCTTTAAATGCTGCAAAATCCATGTGTTTTTGTTTTGATTCAATACTGGGCCCATTTTATTCCAGTATGCCTGCACCTGCTCACAGGCTTTACCCCAGCATGCTGGGTCCCAGCTGGAGGAATATGATCCTGTTGCTTCCACTCTTAGCTTTCCTTCATCAGGTGCAAACAATTACTGCTGCGACTGGAACAGGGTGTGATGGGTTGGTTGGTGTTTCGGTTGTCAGTGCTGCTGACTGATCGGTGTTGGCGTGTTTGGTTCTCTCAGACATAGCATTTGTAGCTCCTTTAGCAATTAGCTCAGGGTTTGGTCTCTGGATGACTGGATGATAATTCAGCAAACTTAAAATAAACAGATTTGTGATGTTCTGGAGCCAATCTAACTGGTTTGCTCTTTCAATATCTGAGCTTTTCATTTTTGTTCCCCACTAACACATTATTTGTCAGACATTTTTGATAAATACTGACTCTAACAGAAACAGGGTACACATACATATACTAAAAAATACACAATGGTATAAAAAGAGAGATACATTTAGAATTGGTTTCACCGTTCAGTTTTAACCAATCACCAACTCCAAAACAAATAAATGACCAATAAAGAATCATTTCTAAAAATATATTAATTAAAAAAAAGAAAGAAAAAAGAGAGATAGCCCAGGGGCATTTCTAGCGATTCAAAAAAAAATCAGGGTCTAAGTGAAGTTTACCCAGGGCTTGATCTTTTACGTTTTTTTATGTTTTTGAAGGAAGATTGGCGCCGGGGCTAAAATACTTGGGGCTATAGCCCGAGTGATCGCACCTAACGACGTCCATGAGTCCCCTATTACTGTGAGCTCATAGGCTGCAACCTAGGCAAGCCTGGTGATTAATCCGCCCCTGTCTGTAGTAGTAGCAGCAAAATTCTTCTTTCTCATTGGTTGTGTTGTGTCCTTTTAAGCACTGAGAATAAAAGAGCATTGTCTTGCAGTAAAACTGTCTAGTCTTTTTCCTTTCAGTATGTCTGGTTCTGTAGGATGCCACAATATCTTGGTCTATTCTGGGTACTCAGTGGCTGTACTGAGTGTGACTGAACTGGCGTTTTACACCATATTACAGCCTGTACTCGCTTGGCAAACGGTTTGAAATTTATGAACTGTTTATTTTCCTGGAATTTCCCATGTTTTGGACATGATAAACCATGTATAACTGAAACCATGGATACTGGCTCCCACTGTACCCTAAGAAAGCTGCAAACATACTATAAAATGCTATAAATAAGGGGTAAAACAATACCAAAGCTGCAACCAAATATTGTATCTTTCATTTATTAACATGCAGAATACAAGACCTTTAGTTTATATTGGGTCTGTCTAAATCCTCAGCAAACACGGTTCGCTAGGCCTCCTGGGATTGGCACATTGCTAACTAGTTCTTTCAGCTCTTAACTTGAGTGGAGATTTGGCACAATTAGAATCAGTCACCCAGTGAATTTTAGGTGTTATGAGTCTCATGAGACTTGCCGCGTAACCACTTGAAGCGAATGTGTGGAACTTACTAACTTGCCAATTGCCAGACTACTTAGTAGTGATGCCCGATTCATGAACAAGTTCTTCTTTTGAACCAGCTCTTTTCAGTAAACCGGTTAAACCAGGGAGTCAGTAACTGAATAAGCCAGTATGAGCGAGCAGGGGAGTTAGCAAGACATAGGCATCACTGTCACTGAAAACCTTCCTGCAGTCAAATCCTCCAACCTATCCTCGGTTCTGATTCTCTTGGACCTGTCAGCAGCCTTTGACACACTCAACCACTAGATCCTCCTGGATACTTTCTCCAGCCTTGGGATCTCAGGTACAGTCTGGCAATGGTTTGCATCTTACCTTGATAACTGGTCGTTCCAAGTGGCATGGCAAGGCTCCCAATCAGCCCCAAGAAGGCTGGCCACTGGTGTTCCTCAGGGTTCAGTCCTAGGACCCCTTCTCTTCTCCTTATACACGGGTTCTCTTGGGAAGGTCATATCTGCACATTGGCTCTCCTACCACTGTTATGCTGATGACACCTAACTCTTTCTTTCCTTTCCATCCGATGACCATCAGGTCTGAACTCGACTCTGACTGCCTGACTGATATCTCCTCTTGGATGACATCCCACCACCTCAAGCTAAACCCCAGTAAGACTGAACTGCTGTACATCAAAGGCAATTCATCACTGACTCTTGACCTTACATTTCCTTTGAAAACTCTCTTATTGACCCCTCAAAAACTGTAAGAAGTCTCGGTGTCATTCTGGATGACAAATTGACATTCTTGCCACACATTAACAACCTGTCCAGGTCCTGCAGATTCCTTCTTTACAACATTAGAAGGATTCGTCCCTTTCTCATGACAGACACTACTCAGCTACTCATCCAATCCTTGGTCATCTCCAAGTTGGACTATTGCATCTCCTTATGGCTGGTCTTTCATTGAAGGCAACAAGGTCACTTCAGCTGATCCAGAAAGCAGCTGCAAGACTCATCTTTAATGTCTCTAGATTCTCGCACATCACACCTCTTCTTCGGAACCTGCACTGGCTCCCTATGGCTGCCCGCATCATGTTCAGATCCCTAACACTTGCCTTTAAGGCCAAGACTGGAACAGCTCCTCCTTACTTGGCAACACTGATCAAGCATCGTGTCACTTCCTGTCCTCTCAGAGCATCAAGCGCTGCTCGTCTCGAACCACCAACACTTAAAAGAGGACAACATGCATCAAGACTTTTTGCAATGTTGGCTTCTCAGAGGTGGAACGTCCTCTTGCCATAAGAACGGCCGAGTCCCTTCCTGTCTTCAAACGTCGTCTGAAGACACACCTCTTCAAGGAGTACCTTGGAGACTAGTACCCCCACTAACATTCTTTTTTCTAACAAGGTTTTTTTATACAACGTTCTTAGCGGTAGTTTGATCTTGATGACAGTTGTTGATTTTAGGTCTAGCTTATAGATCGAAGAACAGTCACGGACTACAAAGCACTGGTTGTAAGTCACTCTGGAAAAGAGTGTCTGCTAAATGCTGTAAATGTAAACGTAAACAGGCAATAGAATAGCCCAAGGGACTAAGAACTGCCCCTATATAAGGAGTCTATACATCTCAGTACTGAAAGACCTTTTTGATGCGTACATTTGTACTTTGTTGACATGATATAAAAATGCATGACTACAATGTGAAAAGTTGAATTTTACTGTGAAATATCGTTCGATTTTTTTAAGTAATCACATTTGCATTATGTGAAAAATATTTCATAATGACTGTCTAATGAAAATTACTAAGTTATTACAAAATGCAGTTTAAAGATTATATGTAGAAGACATATAATACCTTTAGGGAATTATTTTAAAATAAAAGGACACACTAATGGAACAGTGTGAATGGACATATTTAGTGCTATCTGCTTGTAATCGGATCACCCAGGACGTGTATTAATACCAGGTGTGAACAGTGCCAAAGACTCTCGGTTCCAGTAATATCCGGGCAGACAGGACAATCAATTGAAGTGTAAACTACCGCAACATAAAAAGCATATCTAGTTTTTTGTCAGGGGCAGCACCCGTCTGTCTGAGTCTTTCATGTCACCTCCCTGTTTGGCCAGCAGATGTCGCTGGCCATCCTGTTCTCTCCCGTTGTGCAAGTCTTCAGTGTGTTTTCCGGGCTCCCCAGATGGTTGCATGGCTCAATGAGCTGAGTGTGCAACTACCAGTAAACCCCTCAGATGTGTGTTCAAATTCCACATCCTCCGTTTTTGTATTTTTGTAAATTTTGTTCCCTAGTGTTTCATTTGTGTCAGTTTTCTAGTCCCTGTGTTTTTGTGATTTGTATTCGGTTATGGTTACTTAATGCCTATGGTTGTTTTACCTGTCTGTTATTCCCTTAGTGTTAGCTTCTGTTTCCTAGTTTGTGTTTCATGTTTTAATTTATTAGTTTCACCTGTTGCCTGTTTACCAGCCCTTATTAGTTGTTCTCACCTGTCCTGCATTACTCTTGTTATCCCTCTGTATTTAAGTTCCTGCCTTAGTTCAGTTCCCTAGTGCAGGGGTCACCAACATGGTGCCTGTGGGCACCAGGATGCCCCCAAGAACCACATGAGTCGCCTGCAGACCTGTTCTAAAAATAACACAACTCACCACTGAAAAGCGTCTAAAATTTAATTTTATCCTGTTGCTATTCTTCTTTAATCTCATTTGCATTTATATAGATTTGAAAATGACAATATCTATAAAAAAAAAAGCATTTAAAACATGTTTATTATACATGAAGTTTAGATAAGTTTAGGAGGGCGTTTCAAACTGGTAGCCCTTCGTATGGCTCAGTACCCGTGAAGTAGCTCTGTTTCAAAAAGGTTGGTGACCCCTGCCCTAGTGGGTCATTGTTGTACGTCAGTTGTATTTCATGTGCTTTTCAGTAAGTGTTTGAGAATGTTAGAAGTTTCCCTGTGTTGATCAATTTTTGTATTTTGTTCCTCACCTGCCTGCTCCTTGTTGCCCTGACTTTTTCTAGTTAGTCTTTGTTTTTCCCTATTTTCTTATTGACCCCTCGTGGTCCGTTTTGTTTTGTAGTGTTCCTCATGTTTTCAGTTCTGTTAATAAACCCGCATGTTCCCTGAGCCGCCAGTGGATCGTCCACCTTCTTCCCAGCCTGTACTATGCCTCGCCCCTGTGCCTGAGTTTGACAGTTTAACAAAACCTTATCAAATGTGAAAAAATAAGAGCTACAACGTGTTGCTTTGAAACATTTATTTATCACCAAATATTACGCTCTCTTACTGAAAGAGTGACAATAAAGACAATGGGAAGCGGGATCGTGCCAATAGCACTGAGGTTTCAAGCGCTGGCAATTCAGCACTTAGTGATACAAAAGCACTGGGCGTAGGACACAGAGAGATGGCAGACTGATGGCTTTGTCAGCAACGAGAAAGAACAGCTTTTGTGTAACAGATTGGGCTCACCATTACAGAGCCATACAGAGAGGAAGGGAGGACTTTGTTTGCATTAGTGTGCTGTGCAAAAATAAACAAAATCCTTCTTTCTTCAATTTGGTCCTTTTGCGCATGTAACCCAGAACAACGCACTGACCTTAAATCTGTGATCCTTTGATATGAAAGAAACCAAGCAGAGAATCACAAAGCTGAAGGTATTCTAATAAATCACAGAAGGTGCCAAACTCTTTTCTTTCACATGCTATGGAACACATTTGTGCTGATTACAATGTCTTTAAGGCCATTGGTCACTTGGTGTCATATGTTTACATACAGGAAGTATAACCGATGGGGCAGGGTGGGGGGGCAACAAAAACGTAGCTACAAGGGAACATTGGGGAATGAGCATGTGGGAGAACATACAGAACATTTCTACTGGGCCCACTTCAGGAATCAGTGAGCAGCAACTGACCTGGGGATCAAAACCCTGAAGTCTCAGCTCCTGTACATCTCGCTCAGCTGATGTGTCCAATGCCAGTATAGCATTTCAGCCCTCCATTTCAGTACAGCATTTCAGCCCTCCATTTCAGTACAGCATTTCAGTCCTATGTTTCAGTACACCATTTAAGCCCTCTACACAGACATAACTGACATTCAATCAGTAGCTGTCAGCCCTGGTCCTGGACGTTCTGGTATGGCTTCTGCTCCAGCCATAATTGTTTGGGCTTATTCTGCCTGATGTTCCATATTTTTAATCTTCATTAGTGTTTGTAGTAACTATAAACAAATGTAATAATGTGTGTGACACTTAGAAATAAGGTAAATTATGATTGTTAATTCTTAATCGCCTCCTAGCAATGGTGCCCTCGGTCAACATAAGTCTGATGAGAGCTAACTGCCACTGTTAGAGCCTCCTACCCCCCCCCTACATACACACCAAGTGTGGTGCACCGTCTCAAGTGTCATGCCCATAGTCCCAGCCCTTACTGCCGAGAGCCCAGTGAAAGTCTAGACAGACTATGGCAGCAATGTAACACAGAAGGCCACTTCACATTCACTGCTGCCCGGCGGCCCCCACACCACACCCAGATGTCCACCAGCACGCTGCCTGGCCTTCTGAAGCCTGAGCCGCTTTGTGTAATGCATGCAGGCACACGCAGGCCAATGGCTGAATACCCACAACAGTGAAGGTGTGTGGCTCTGTCAGCAGGACTGGCGGGGACTGCTCCAGTGACATGTGACACGTGAAGAGCAGAACCTGACCCCTCCCTGCCTTATAGAGCAAAGAAAGAAAGAAGCCCTGTGTCTCTGTGAGGCCTTTCAGGATCTTACATGGACTCCTGGGGGAGAGGGCCCCATCCGTGACGACGAGTACATCAGCCAGACGCCACGGGATGAAGCCGGCATGAATGTCCGGCTGTTTGACAGCAATGGAGGGTTAAATTGAGGGCTACAATTCCTGAGGGCAGATGAACCGCAAAACTCAGAAAACAGCAGAACAGCATAAAGTATGACAATGAGGACGAGAGTAAATAAGTGGTGCCACCCCCCCCGTCCAGTAGGGCTGTGCGATATGGACAGAATCTCATATCCCGATAATGATATGTATCACAATATGACCACATGGGCAGACCTATTTCTTATCACATTTTGAATCATATACTTGACAAATAAAAGGTGCTTATTTATTTTTAATTAATTTTTGCTTTTATTTAGAATATTTGTGCATATTTTCAATTAAGCATGTAACAAAATATAAAATATTGATGTATAAAACATAAAAAGGTAAACAGAGAACACTTAGAAGATTAGTGGCGAGTCTGTTGCAGGGACCAGTTTGCAGAGAATTTGCAAAGTACGGACTGTGCCACCTGCCCCATTTGCGCCTTGCATGTCTGCGCATGTGTAACATTACACTTTACGCCACATTTTACGATGGTGCCCTATTTGTGCCACTTTGTTTCATGACCCAGTCTGATCTGTTAGCATTTCTTTTCACAACACCAGGTTCATTTTAAGGGCTGCTTGTGAGCCATCTCCATCAGCCCAGAATGGGATATTCAGCCAGATATTCTGTTTTCAGATTCTTTGTGTTCTGTCTCTTTAATAAAAGGTCTGTAAGGCACCTGCACTTGTGTCCAAGTGTTTATGGGTCTCCTTAGGTACCCCAGTCATGGTGGGGTGACCGTATGTCCCTGACGCCTGCCACTGTTTATGCTGCAGCAAAATCAGTAGATTATGCCAAAAGGACAAACAACTGGAGAAATGTATGTTATTTTGCCAATTTATTTTTCTGATCCAACTGATGTGGAGTGATATTAATATGGCTGAAACAAACGCAAAATACGCCAAACTTCATTTTTAAGTTAACAGTGAACCAAAGCTAGAAGTATACCAAAATACAGTGTTACTGAATATAAGCAATTTCAACTCACGGAAATATAAAACTATATTTTAGATACTTAAGTAATAGTGATGATCCAAAAACTGGAAATAGACAACCAGCGTGAGTTCTGAAATAAAACAAATAGTGAATGCTTAAAATCACAAGCAAATAAAGATTTTTTTTTCAGTCAGCATCTGATCTCTCTAAACGATGACAAAGTCACTCTAGTTCGCTGTAAATATAGTTTGCCGTAAAATGATAAAGTGAACAGCTCGAAACACCTCCAAATGCTGCATGTGCGCAGACGTGCACGGCACAAATCAGGCAGGTGGTATGGATTGGATAGTGACATCAGTGTTGCTAGATTTGGTGAGTTCCCGCCCAGTTGGAGAGTTTGCTTTGGGCAGGTGAACAAAATTTGGACTGGTTTGGGATCAATTTGGCAGTTTTCACACATGTGTAGGCTAAAACCCAAGAGTGCATATATTCCATCCAAGGACTCATCTGGATGTTACCAGACAGCCACGCTCACTGCGGCTGGTGACGTTAATTCTAGAGATGCACCGATTCGTATATCACATCAGTAATGGCACCGAATCAGACCTATTAGATGGATTGGATACTGGCATTGTGGCATAGGTATCACGCGCACAGACCTGTCTGTATGGAGCAAAATGTAACAATAGCAACAACCACTGATGAATCATTGTGCATGTAAATAATTATCGTAAATCTTTAAAATAATCTAAATCGACACTGTAAAAGTGTGTTCGAGTAGTGTTAACCCATAGGCTGTACGACACAGCAGTTAACATGATCCCTATGGGGCAGGGTGAAGGAGTCTCATTTGAGACGTGCATGACGTGTTGGTGAGAAACGAAGCTTCGTTTCCAAAGATCATGTGACAGTGTGGTTTCAGGTGAGGCTCCTGAGCATCGCGTTCAAATAGTGGTGAGACTAGCTGGGCTACTGAGCAACCCATCTCTACTTTTTAAGCATGGTGCAGTAAGTAATCGTCACAATTAAAATGCTGAACTATTGATCAAACAGGCAGTTTCATGTGCATTTTTGTGGCTTTTGAACCATTTTGGGCTGGAAAATGTGAATAAAAAAAGGAAAAGACCTCTTTTTGCTCTAGTCGTCTGCATGCTAATGAATAGTTCTTTTTGCTACTGAAATTTTTGCCGTTCCAGAACAGACACCATCAAGGCTGCAAAGGAAGCCCCCACTTGTGTCCTGTGTGGGCTCCCCCATGTGTGTGTCTGCATGCGTGTCCCGTGTGGGCTCCCCCATGTGTGCGTGTCTGCATGCGTGTCCCGTGTGGGTCCCCTCTCTGTGCGTGTCTGCATGCGTGCCCCATGTGGGCTCCTCCATCTGTGCGTGTCTGCATGCATGTCCCGTGTGGGCTCCCCCATCTGTGCGTGTCTGCATGCATGTCCCATGTGGGCTCCCCTATCTGTGCGTGTCTGCATGAGTGTCCCATGTGGGTCCCCTCTCTGTGCGTGTCTGCATGCGTGCCCGTGTGGGCTCCCCTATCTGTGCGTGTCTACATGTTTGTCCCGTGTGGGCTCCCCTATCTGTGCGTGTCTACATGTTTGTCCCGTGTGGGCTCCCCTATCTGTGCATGTCTGCATGCGTTTTCCCATGGGGGCTTCCCTATCCATGCATGTCTACATGAATGTTCATTGCATATAAACTGCTTGAGCTACTACTTAAAAGTAAGCGTACAGCCCTGATGCTTCATATCGCACAGCCCAACTGTCCAGGATAAGTGGCTGGAAATTAATACATTCAAAGTAGAATAAAATAAATAGAAAAGAGACAATTTTCATACATATATATGTATTTTCAAAAGCATGTGAGGGGCGTTGGTGAAGGTTCTAGCGCACGCTATGATATACCAGTGTGACGGGGCATTTTGGGATAGGCAGGACACCAGGGTACACATAAGACTCAAACGTTTAACCCTGCCTGAAGGCCAGCTCATACTTCATTTTTCCATGTGCACTTTTGTCATGCAAGGGGGAGGTGATGTAAATTTCATCATCAGGGGTTGGCTGAGGTTGCTGCACAGGTTGCCCACATTTTTACATGTAGTGGAATCCGTGTGCATCGACTGCGCATAATTGACTAGGTATATCCAGTAGGTGGCATTCATGTAAACCTTGTCCAAAGTTTGTTCAATTTGTTCCGTTTAAAACAATAAACATCAAGAGTTCTGGAAACCTTGTCTCATTTGTATTTTATATATTCCACCTATGTTTTGATTACTATTGAGTTTTACCCGAAAATCATATTTTATCATAAGAATCGAATAGTACTTTCAATGAGAAATGTGATTGGGCAGAAGTAAATAGTAAATACTAAACATATTTACTGTCTATATTGTTTGTGAGACAAAGCCGACGTGAATTGTTTTACAAAAAATGTGATGTTTTTATCGTTTTAAAATCCCGACAAGACATAAAACTTGCTGTTATAAACATTTTCTCTTCCTGCTTTTGCATAAGCTTCATTCCGATCAAGACAATGACATATGTCCTTCGCTAGTCTGGAGAAATTATTTCATTAAGCATGCACCGAGTACAACCATTCACATCCACGGTATGAACACAAACTGCTGCACGGACGACAGTCCCCAGCCCAGGAGTGCACAAAAGCGCAGGTGGAAAAAGTAAAGTATGAACTAGGCTTCACTCAGCGCTGGATTGTGGTCCCCATACACAATACTACAGTGATGCAAGACACTCAGTGGTCACAAACCATTTAAAAATGTGCTGTTCCTGTTCTGTGGTGGGGGGTGTTTCACTGAACTTCACAGTACGCACAAAACACATACAATGTTAAATTCTTTGGCTGAACAGAAATCGACCAACTATTTGAAAAGATGGAAAAGGAGATGATTACAAGAACCCCAGCCGTGACCCACAAAGCCTATAGCAGTAACACCAAAGATGATTACGGTATGTGTGCCTGTATCCCATAATGCACTGTGCTGTAGCTGTCCTGCATACCCAGAGCCAAAGGTGTATTATGCAGGACTGGTCCCTTAACTACATTATAACTCATTTGGACTACGTGGTTGGTCATTTTCAGTTCTCCCATCATCGTACGTGAATGTGACTATGAATAAAATGCTATACATGACATAAAAAAGCGGACTGTCCATTTAAGCAGTGGACTAGCCAGTGCTAATGGCAGTTACACCATTCACCAATAGCTTATCACCGGCTGCTTATTTATGTGCCAAGAAGACTGAGATATAAAAAGGAAAATAGGCAACCGATCAGGTCAGGGGGCAACAGCTGTGGGACCCCCCCCCAGAGCAGTTAGAGTGCCCAGAGCGCAGAGACCTGCAACACCTCAGCCCATGGGCTGGACACCAAGCGAAAGAGAACCAGGGATCCACTCCCATCCCACGGTCCATCTGAGGGGGGTGGGGGTGTGGAGAGGGACTTAAAAGCAAGAAAAGGCAGACAGGGGCTGGAGTTGGCCTCCATGACACATCATCTCTTGGCATTCTGGTCCTCAGTGGTGGGCGTGGTAGTGGGTGTGGCCATGGGTGTGTTCTGGGGCGGGGCCTCACCCTGGGCGTCAGGCTGCACCGTCTGCACGGTCTCCACCAGGCTGCCACTGGGCAGCACCACGTAGCGCGCTGCCAGGTCTTGTGGGGGGCGCTCCCGCTGGCCCTCTTTACTGTGCCACATCCCGTAGCCAAAGTATACAGTCAGGCCTGCAGGGAGACACGCATGCTGGGTTACAGAGGGACACAAAGACACAAGGACACTGACAGACACACACAAACAGATACAGATAGACACATTGCATGCTGGATTTAGGCAAATGAGTGAAATGCTTACAAACTCCCTAACTCACTCAGGCACTCATCTTTATGGTTGGGGATTCCTGTCCTGCCAGATATGACCCTAAAAGACAGTGCGGTCCCAACACTGCGGCTAAAACCCACCTAATCTGCCTTAATCATGCAGGCCTCGTGAAAGAAAGACTGACAGCCCTCCAAAGAACCGACATCCTCCAAACAGAACTGCAGTTGAAAGTCACAGGCCCACAAGCTGGGTGAACTGGGAACACTGGTACTATTCCGTTTGACTCCAAAAGCATCCCGAGGCTCAGGGCTGAAGATCATAAACAGGCTGGGGACATTCGGAGGGGTCCCAGGTGATCTGCTGACGATTCCTTATTAATCTTTTAAATGCTGGACCCAAATGGTGCCCGAGGAGAGTGACTTTCCAACATGAGCAGGGCCTTTGGTACAGGGTGCATGAAAAAGCCATTTATGTTGATCAAACCATTTGCCATCTGTTCATCCAATGCAGCCCTAAGAGTGTAGCAGGCAGCAGGTGGCACTAAGGATGGGATGCCAGTTCATCAGAGGGCATAGGGCAGGGGGCACCGAGGACGGGATACCAATCTATCATAAGGAACAGGGCACCAAGGACTATCACAGGGCAGTCTATCACAGGGCAAGGGGCACCGAGGATGGGACAGGAGTCCATCACAGGGCATAGGGCAGGGGGCACCAAGGACGGGACGCCAGTCTATCACAGNATCACAGGGCATAGGGCAGGGGGCACCAAGGACGGGACGCCAGTCTATCACAGTCTATCGCCAGCAGGGGTGCCTTACCTACAACAAGCCAGACGATGAAGCGCACCCATGTGAGGGGGCTGAGCTTGAGCATGAGGAAGACGTTGAGCAGGATACTGGTGCCTGGGATGAAGGGCACCAGCGGCACCTGAACCGGGGAGAGGAGAGCCGGTGTGGGGACAGCTGGGGCAGGGGAATAGCCAGGCAGATAGCCCAAGCGTCACCTCACCTCCCCCCTGGGCTCATCACAGCTGTTTTCATGCACAGTCAATTTATAAGGCAGTAATAGAGGTAAAAATGGTGCTGTTCTGATTACATGTATGTATATGTTTCCCATGTGGGCTCCCCTATCCGTGCATGTGTGCATACGTGTCTCATGTGGGCTCCCCTATCCGTGCTTTTCAGAATACGTGCCATGTGGGGACTCCCATATGTGTTCATGTCTGCATACATGTTCAATGCGGGGTCCCTTGCGCTCACCTGGAAGGTCTTGGTGTTGGCCTGCTGTTCGTGGACCCAGATGAGGGCCAGGCTGAGCAGGAAGGCCAGGCCAAACACAACCACCAGCAGTGAGATGCTCCACAGGGGCAATTGCAGCGCGCCGCTGCCGAACACCAGCACGGCACACAGCGAGAGGCCACTGACCATAAGCGCCAGCACAGAGAAGGCCACCACTTCTCCAGGCTCGCAGTCACCCAGCACATGGCCCAGGTAGGGCTCCCAGCGGGCCTTCAGCTGGCCCGCAGCCCGGCGCTCGCGGCTCTGCTTCTCCTGCTCTACCAGCTGCAGCTTGTCAGAGAAGGACTCGTACTCCTTCAGCTCACCACTCTCCTGGGCCATGGTCTGGGGCTCCAAATCGGTGGGTGATGGCTCCTGCTGGGCATTGGAGGAGCCAGACCTAGAGGCTGCCTTCTCGGGCTGGAAGCGGAGCACGATGATGCTAGCCGCCACAAAGGTGTAGGCCAGCAGGGTGCCGATAGACAGGAACTGCACCAGAGCCTCCAGGTCAAAGATGAGGGCCAGCAGAGCCATGAGGCAGCCGAAGACCTGGATGGCGATGACGGGGACCTTGGTGACGGGGTTCACTCTGGAGAAGACGGAGAAGAATAGGCCATCCTCTGCCATGGCATATACTATCCGGGGCAGTGAGAAAAGGTTACTGAGCAGGACGGTGTTCATCGCTGAAGGGAGGAGAGGAGGAGAAGTTGTGCTTATCAGTGCCTCATCAAGAAGGCATTACAGTAAACATTGCCGGGGGGGG